ACCCTTTATGGTGAATCACTGACAGGAGTGTCTAGACAATTTTAAAGACCAAACTGAGTTCTACTATGCATCAAAGGATGATGAGGACTCTAAGGATGTAAAGAACAAAAGAAAAGACGACAAGTGGTGGATTCCAGTCCCGAAGGTCCCACCAAACGGCCTCTCTGAGGCCACGAGAAAATGGTTGCAATATCAAAAGGATTGCGTCACACAAATACTAAAAGCGGCCATGGCTATAAATGCTCAGGTCCTTGCCGAAATGGAAATCCCGGAAAATTACATCGAGGCGCTACCTAAGGTACGAGGAGGAGACCAGGAAAAAAAAATTGGAAAAAAATGTTTATTAGTTGCAAATGTGGTGCATTAAAAGTAGATTGTATTCAAAAAATTATAATTTTAGTTGGAAACTTGAATTGAGATTAATTTTCAGATGTAAAATTTGGAGATGTAGTTATGAAATGCATATGATTTTGAAATTAGCATTTGGTTGAATTGCTTTATCTTTTACTTACTAATACATTTTGGTGCTAGAGTGAAAGAACGCTGGTTGAAGTTAAGTTAAGGCTATGTTTGGTAAAACTAGCTAATATGCTAGTTAATAGCTTATAAGTGATTTTCGAGCTTATAGCTGAAAAACTAGCTTATATGATAAAAGTGTTTGGTAAAATTAGTTGATAAGCTAGCTGAAATAACCATTTTAACGAGCTTATGAAATAAGCTCGAGCTTTTTACAAAAGTTCATCCTACCAAACGAAGCTTATTTGAATACAAGAAGCTAGCTTATTTGGTTACCAAAAACAAAGCCTAAAGTGCCTTCGAATCGTTTTTTATCCATTTCTTTTTTCCGCTCACTTTCTCCTCATGGGGAAAATTAATGTGAATAAATACTAAATATCAAGTCAATACATCTCAATCGAGAATGCCGTGCATTTCTGTATATTGTGGAGTAAATTGTGCTTTCGAATTCAAACTAGACTGTTTTTGACAGCCCATAAATGGTCGATTTTGTGTGGTCACATAATATTTATACCTTTTTCTTTTTACACACGGTATTTATTCATTCATAGAATGGAAGATCAAGTCTTGGTGATTCGATATACAAGAGCATCACGGATGATTTCTTTGATCCAGACTACGTGATGTCTACCTTAGACCTCTCCACAGAGCATAAAATCCTCGACCTCAAGAATAGGATAGAAGCATCTGTGGTGATCTGGAAAAGGAAAATGCACGCTAAGGATAGCAAGTCATCTTGGGGCTCGGGCATCAAATCCGATAAACGAGAACTTTTCGAAGATCGAGCAGAGACATTTTTGCTTGTCATGAAGCATCGTTTTCCTGGACTTCCCCAATCCGAACTTGACATCAGCAAAATCCAGTACAACAAGGTAATTTTTTTTTTTTTACACAATACAATTGTAATTAATTTAAAGAAAATAAATTAAAAGTTACGCTTACATGAAAAAAAAAAATAAATAAATAAAAATTGACACAGCATTTGACATAAGTGATATTACAGTATAGTGCTCATTTGTTATTCTAATTGATCTCATTTTACTCTACCGAACAAGATTAAATTTCTGATATTTTACTCGATTCACTGTACTTGTACTTGCAGGATGTAGGTCATGCTATCCTCGAAAGCTACTCAAGGATCATAGAAAGCTTAGCATTCACTGTCCTCTCGAGAATAGATGATGTCATGCAAGCTGACAAGCTTGCACGCAATTCAGTCTCCGAACAAAAGAAAACAGAACGGATGGACAAAATCCCGAGCTCCAAAAACGAGCCCGAGACCCCGACATCAAAGACCCTGCTCGATTTTATGGGCTGGAATTTGGATCGTGAGGATGGCGAGGCCCAGGACTCTGAAATCGAGCCCGTTTTGACCAAACCTCTCAACAAGCCTGAAAACATTATAACGAACAAGAAGGTATCTTACATTGAGAGACTACAAAATCTAGGCATGCCCAGAAGCCCGACAGAACGCCATTAACACTTAAAAATTATATAGATTTCCCTCTGAGGTTTTGCCTAATCGACAAACGCCCCTTAATCTATATTTGTTTCCCTTTAAATCGGGCCCATTTTTTTTTTTTTTTCATGGG